AAAAGATGCCCAATTCTCTCTATTGAAATTTAGAATACATAATCAAGAAATTGTATAAGAATCTAGCCCCCTGATATTTTAGAAAGAAGATAACTACACAACATGGTTCTAGTGGACTAGGAGACTTATATTAAAGATAGCCATGTTGTTATGGCATCCAAGAAGTTCACTGGAAATGTTACTGGAACATTTTGATGTGAACTCAATAAATGGTATGTTTGGCAAAGAGTTTCTCCCCAAAACAATCATATCAATCAATCATGCAACAATAACTGTATGAGTTTTGCAGAGAGTAATACATGATCATATTATTATCAAATAAGAAAATTTAAAAGTTTCAATGATAGTAGCAAATTTACTTTTGCAAGATCCATAAGTTGCATTATAAGAATAAAGCATAAACATGAAAATATCAAGCAATTATCCATGTCCAGAAATCAAAAAAAGTAAATGCTACTAAAAAAATGTTAGCCCTTGATGTCCAAAGTAAAAGCAATTTTTTATGTAGACATAAAAGCAATAGTATAATAGTGATTACATCATAAGAACCTTGTAACCTAAAAAGTAGATATCTATCAAGAATGATATTTTACTGCTACTTACAACAAAAGCTGCTTCAGCACCTTCTTGTCCAGATTGAAAGCCTTCTTCACCTGCACATATTCACGTTTCTATGGTTGTTTAGTTCATAGGTTTATTCTACAAACATCTACAAGTTAAAAAAAAATACAAGTTATAGAATAGTAAAACACTTCAGCACTAACATAAAATACAATCGTCCAAATAAAAAAAAAATCAAATATAAGTTATTCAGCAAGTGATGAATCACTACAAGTAGTATGTAAAGGCTTGAACATGATAAAGATATTAACCCTAATAGGAGTATGGGTAACCAAGAAAAGCGATCGACAGTAGTCTAAAATAAGAAACATTGTGTCCGGAATAAAATTGATAACTAGTACATCGAATATCAAACTTTTTTATAAATATAACAAGCAATTAATCCATAACAACCATAACAAGAAGAATTACACTATACAAGCAATTAATCCATAAAAAGACAACAAACGGCCATATTTGTACCGAGTTTTGCAATACCAAATGATACCGCCCGTACCGAGCGATATGTATTGGTCCGTCAGCAAACCAGTACACGGACCACCCGCAACTGAGCAGTACCGTCGATTGAGGCCGTTTTCGTCGACGATGACCGAGGGAAAAGAAAGAGGGAGAAGGTGAAATAAGAGGCAAAAGGGGAGGAAAGAAATAAGAAAAAAAAAAAGAACATGAGATCAGCACCGCTCCTCGTTTGCGACGACTTCTCATCCGCAAGTGAGGATAAGAGTATCGACGTCTCAGGGCGAAGAAAGGCAACGCCTTAGTGAAATTTTTTTTTCCTAAGACGTCGCCTAACGCAATGTCGCAATTTTTTCTTTTTTTCTGCAACATCGCCAAATTTGTTTTTTTTTTTTTTCTACGACGTCACCCGAGAAGAAAGGCGTCGTCGCCGAGGCGAAGAGAGGTATACCGAGCGATTTACCTCTTATATATATATATATATATATATACACACACCGAACGGTATACCAAAATATACCGCTCGGTATATAGTATCGTACCAAGCAAATCTCGAAATTCCAATACGATATGAAATTTCAATCCTTGATTTGTACTATTAAGAGTTATTAAAACAAACTGAAAATTCCCATCTTCATCAAAATCAAAACAAAGAATTGGATCTCAATGGGTAGAGCTCCAATCATATCAAAAAAATGGTGAACTTTTTTATCAAGGATTAAAGCATTGCCATACTGCAGCGAATACTGGACTGGCATATGGCATCAGTGCTGCAAGACCCTTACAGGTTATTACAATTCATGCATGTGCCAGCACAAGAACCATAAAGCATGTTACAGTCGCATGTCATGATATGTACCCTGTAATGACTGAGGTTAGCATTTTGGACTTTGCTTATTATTGCAGTTTAAAACCTGAACAGCTGCAGCTAAACTAGATTTTGATCGATGCATTTGTTCAGATGAATGATGTAATAGCTAGCCAATAAATGAAGTAAATCAATAGAACAGTTGGCAATAAACCTAGAACCCTGCACTTTACACTTGCACAAAACAGTAAGTTTTTGTCATGAACATGACAAATCATAAATAGGTATAGGAAATGTTTTAAACACTACCATTTGGGATGCTTAAAGTGGTACGATTACTTGACTTAATTTTGCAGCACGAGATGCTTGCTAAAAGTTTAAATCCACAAAGTGCTTATTAGAAAAGTTAACAAAAAGAACATGTAAATGCATTATAACACTGCAAATTAAAAGTTGTAAAGGTGCATCACACAATCACTTTAATCTAACATGTCAAAATATCAGTTACAAGACCTACGTGACTTTTAAAAGCTCCTTCTACTGTTAAAAGAAGAAAACATATTTCTGGGCAACAAAATCAGAAATCAGAAGCAGAACACCACCCGGTAGTAGTGTCATGAACTTTGTGGACAAGGTAAAGAAGTAAACTATAGCACAAAAAAGGTATCAAAGAAAACACCGAGAAAATTTGCCATGAAAAAAAAATGTCCAATTTTAAAACAGGACAACCAACAATATTTGCATACATATTCAAAAGTCACTAACATCAACCATGCATTTAGTTACACAAAAACAAACGGAATATCAACTAACAAAATGCATTTTCAAATAGCATATACATCAGTCACATGCAAATTACCAATAAAAAATACGCTACAGCATATTACTAGATTTATAAAAAAAACAAATAAATCATGTAAGGAGAAAAAAAAAATTAGTTGAACAAAACCATAATATTAAAGAAAAGCAAAGAAAAGCCCTGACCACCTGCAAGCATCAATGCAGGCATTGCATATTCACAGGATCACATGCCATGCCTGATCCTAGTTAATGGAAAAAATTATAGCTTCCCAACTTTATGACATCCAAACAAAGAACACGAAGTACAACCAAAACCCTAGGCGACCATCCAAGCACAACACGAACAAGAATAGCAGAGAAACCCAAAATCCAAGAAAAAAGAAGCAAGATTAGCAAAACCTAGAGCTCCGTCGACCGACGGCGCGGGGAGACGCTTGCGTAACACACAGGAGAAGAGCTTGGACGCGCTGCTGGTGATGAGCCGAGACGCGGGATCGACGAGCTTCGACAGCCACCCGGGCTCCGAAGGCCGCACCACGAGACCGCGGGCGGGGGTGGGGGGTCGATCGTATGGCGTCGCGGCGGCCCTCCGGAGCGGCCGCCGCCGGATTTTCCCGCCGATTCCGCCCTCGTAGTCCGGCGTTTCCATAAGGAGAATCGCAATGGAGCCGCGACAGAGGAGATGAGGGCGACGGCGAGCTAGAGGACGCGAACCAGGGAGAGAAAAAGTCGAAGCTTTGGGGGTTTTGTCGCGGTAGAAAGAGGGAGGGAACGGAGCGGAGGAGAGGGGAGGGAAAAAAGGCGCTTTAGGTTAACGTCTCCGCCGTGGTATGTGTCTTTATACTCGTATCGTGTCTCCGTATGCATGTAGGTCTGTATACTAGATTTTTGGGCCCTCATGGTACAACTTTACCTTAATCACCAATGAACAAGACCCATATAGGGAGGGACCCACACGAGTCAACCAACCATCTTCCGAATTGACAACATGGGTGTGTCGATTGGTATCATTCTAGGTGTTGGTAGGTCGCACAAACCCATCGGCGATGCGTCAAAACTTACGCCGCCATTGGATCTTCCCAGAATTCACCAGCTTGGAGATTGGTGAAAATGTGGAGCCCACACCACGTAGGTAGCACTGCTCCAAGTCTTTGTCGCTTGCCTCGTCGCAAACCCACTCTCAGACCCACCGACGGGGATTTGGACGCTGCTGATGGGTCCCACCACATCCCGACTTATCTTCAATTCGACGAGTTCCTCGTGATTCGGAAGATGGAAAATGATTTGAGATGGATCGGATCGGGGGGATGGCGGGCGATGAGGAATTCGACGGCCCGCCTTTGCCGATCGTGAAATGTGGGCTTAATTAGAATAGAAGATATCAAGAAATCTTTACTTGTATAATCATTATTTTTAGCTTTAATTCAATAAAAGAAATAGAATACTTATTTTATTGAATTAATATTTTATAATTCATGATAATAATAATATGTTCGTTCATATAATATATATATATATATATATAATATATTTATTTATTGACTCTCATTATTAAAACTATATGATTGATATTAATTTTGAATGTAGGTAGGTTGATGCCAAGAACATTATGTGGAGATTCTCTTATTCGAAAGTATGTATATGTGCTAAATCAAGATTTGTAATACCAAAAATATTGGCTTTAAACTGGTAAGGATATGGTATTAACTTCTTAAAATAGGATGATCTTGTCAAATTTGAGACTCAGCTAATCGTTTGTTTAATATTCACTTACTAAGTTCGGAACTAAGGCATGCTTAGTTTGGACGTTTTAGGAAGCCTTTCAATCAAGTAATTTGTTCTTTTCCCTCAATATTCAATTATATATATATATATATATAAATTGAATATTTAAATATCATGAGATTGAAACAAAAAGGAAAAGTTTAAAAAATAATTAAATTTAAATAGACTGTCACATGCAATACAACAGATATATAATTTTATTATTTTAGAAGTTGTTATTATTTATCAAAACAATGTTATTTTACTTAATAATATAAATATATCATTCAAAGATACTTCTAAGAAAAAAATGGACGATTTATCAAGAAAAACCCTACATTTTGAGCTTCTTTTGTAAGATGTGTTTCGAACCATATCCAAAATATCCTGAAATCAAAATTAATTCTTTTTCTCATAACAAAATTATATAATAAAAAATATATGTATATATACACACACATAAATAAATAAATAAAATATTATATATATATATATATATGAAAATTTACTCAACCAGGCGTTGTTGTTATGGGTACAAAAACGAGGCAGTCCAAGAGACGGAGAACCGGCGGTTTCCGGACCGTTCGTGGACCGTTAGGCGCCCTCTCTCCTCCTCCCCATCTCTCTCTCCGACGAGACACCGCCTCCACCTCGCATCGAATCATCAAGACTCGATGCAGGATCAGGCCCATTTCCACTGGCCGAGGGATATTTAGGATTCTGTTGGAGTTTCGCTCCCTTGTTTTTGGATCCGTTGTCTCGTTGTTTCTTTCCCAAAGGCGTCAGCTTCCCTGCAACTCCCCTTCGTTCGTGTTCCTCGTCCTTTGTTTGCATCGTGTAAAAATCGAATTTTGCATGTGTATTTGTGCGCACGATCCGATTTTTATGTGTGTTTCCGTCGGAGTTGCAGCTCTAGATGGAGATTTCGATTGGCGCAGCATTTGGAATTTAGACGTGTGAATACACGTCCGGGAGATGTTCGAGCCAATGTCGAAGAGGGATCCACGGGAGATTTGATTGTGGAATCGGATGGGGAATATATGCGTTGGGCCGAGGCTCTCGAAGAATGGCTTCTTTCAATCAGTATCGGCTACTCTCTGGCGTAACCGAACGAACAAGGATCCTCTTCCAGCTGAGCATGGCAAGGCCACTGGCGAGGGAACCTCAGCCATGCTAGCAGCTACACCATCTAAACCGGTTACCGATGCTCCCCAACCGGTTTTGATTGAAGAGACAAAGCCGTCCAAAGTCCCTGAAGCAGATGCCAACCCGGCACCTCATGGAAATCCTACGGACCAACCCAAGAAGCCCACCCATATCAGGAGAGCCTCTAGCGCTGCTGGACTTCAGGCAGACTTTGTATTGAAGAGCAAAACTGAGAATTTGAAGGAGATTTACAGCTTAGGACGCAAGCTTGGGCAGGGGCAGTTCGGGACAACGTATCTCTGTGTCGAGAAGGCAACCGGAAAGGAATATGCTTGCAAATCCATCTTGAAGTGGAAGTTGACGACAGAGGAGGATGTGGAGGATGTTAGGAGGGAGATCCAGATAATGCATCATCTGTCTGGTCACCCGAATGTTATTTCCATCAAAGAGGCCTACGAAGATGCCGTGGCTGTTCATGTAGTTATGGAGTTGTGTGCTGGGGGTGAGTTATTTGATAGGATAATCCAGAAGGGGCATTACACAGAAAGAAAGGCTGCAGAGCTTGCAAGGGTGATTGTGGGAGTCGTGGAAGCTTGTCATTCGATGGGAGTCATGCATCGTGATCTCAAGCCTGAAAATTTTCTTTTTGTCAACCAAATGGAGGATGCACCTCTTAAGACTATTGATTTTGGATTGTCAATTTTCTTCAAACCAGGCACTCTTCTTCTTCTTATTCTTTTTCTTCTGATCTTTGTTTCTTTTGTCTTTAGATATGAAGCTCCAGATGCATCTTTTTTAAATGTTCTTGCTCTTGAAATATTTGATAATTTAATTGACACCTCATTGTGCCAAAGAACACTGTGATCCTCAATATCTGTTATTGTTTTAGTTCATGGCCTTTTGTGATTCAGTACAATGGATGTGCAAAACCATGGGCCAAGTTGTGGGGAGAAAATAATGACTAAATATTTTTTAGATTTGTCTGCATTTTATTTTATTCATCTTTTTATGCAATATGAGAAGTTTCAGACCACTTCCACTCTGCAATTGGTAACTATTGAAACCTTAGGAAACTCATTTAAAACTTAAAAGGTCAAGAGTTCTCTAGTTTCAAAATTTAATGGCTCCTTTATGACAGTAGTTAGGAGCTTGCTTGATGGTCAGCGTTGGTCGAAATGGAGAATAAGGCTAGATGCTATAAACCTAATTAAATAGGTAAGCTGCAAAGCAAGAAGTTGAAAATTCTCTGACAAACCCTATCTAACCATGGTCGTTAACATATATCTCATTTACAGCATTTGCTTATCAGCTTAACTTGCTTTAGGCTTAGTTGGGGATACCTTTTGCACATTTGTACTGCTCAAGACTTCTATCTGAACTATATAAACAATGCTTGGTGAAATATAGGATAGGGACAACAAGCAGATTTTGGCCGTGTTTGTTTTTCTCCCTTGTTTTCCCTCCCCCCCTTTCTCTCTTTCTCTCTCTCATACACACGTGTTACAAATAAATGTGGATCTTTGGTATGGAATGCTGCCTCTTTCTTTGGCACACCTTCTTGGGCACAACTAGGGGTATCAACAAATTTATGAACGTAGTTAGATTGGGGATGGAGACACAAAAGTATTCTCCTTTGCTGAATATCAGAGGAGTCTTCGACATGAATTTATCTATATAACTTAGTGAAAAAACAATTAGTGAACTTTGGTAATCTTTTTTTCTCTTCTCTCTGTCCTATTTGTTGTATGGTTCTTCCATGTATATCCTTTCTTTCAAGTGTTAAGGATCTTCTTCCTTCAGCCATAATGTCTAACTATTCGGGATTGACTGCATAGGTCTTTTCACGTTAATAAGCTTAATACAATATTTTGAAATTTTGATTCAGTGGCTAAATATAAATATTTACCTCAATTTGATATTTCCTAGTGTAGCCTCCTTACCTTCACTTTCTTGATATATTTACAACTTCATGTAATTCTTTTTACCTTCAGAAAATATATGTCTTTCATTGTTGCATATTTATTGTGAAAGGATTTGTCAAACTGGCATTTCAAGCTTGAACTCCTTTGAGAATTTCAGTTTGTGACTCATTTTCTTTATTTCATTTGGTTAGATTTTGCTTCAAGTAACTTGAAAACCAAAAGCTTCATTTTGGTTACAATGGAATAATCAAAGAGAGCAAACTGATTTCTCTCTTAGGCATCATGTATTTCCCTTCTATTAGGCATCTTGTATTTCCCTTCTACTATATGTACTGTTTAAAGTATTTATTGGAAATTTGATTTTTTAAACATTAGACGAATGTCAGTGCCTGCATGTGACGACTACTGTAATTAAATTCCAGTGAGGCTTCCCTTAGTGTAGCATGGTCCGGCTAGGTCTTGACTAAGCAGAGCATATTTCTTCTTTCAAGAATGACCACCATCATAAGTGAATGATTGGAGGAGTTTGTGTAGAATCATCCATTTGGGTAATATTGTGGGGATCTTAATGCAAATCAATGGCAAGAACAGAAAATTTGTCTAGTAAAGCATGTGATTTAACTTTCTTTTCAGCATTTCAGTGGAGAACAAACGATATTCAATAGTTAATTAACTTATTAAATGTGGAACACTTATTGCAGTGTAATATTCTGGCCTGTGGCTTCTTTATTTTAATGTTTAAATTTTATCTGCACTAGAAATTCATATGCATCATAATCTGGCATTAAGAGGACAAAAGCAGTGTGAAAAGAATTTGTAAGCTAGTGTAGGTTTGAAGGGATGCATGGATATGAAGAGTCATTGGTCGTGCTAGCAGCATGGTTCTGTAAGATTTGATGTGTTTTTTATGGAAGGGACTCCTGAATTTTTTTTTGAAATGTGGAAGGAAGGATCGAGTTAGATCCTCTGAAAGTTAGCACAGAAGCTTTTGTATGAGGATACATCTTGAATTGTGAGACACTTGGTTTTTCTTGAAGATTTAGCTTTTAGAAAATTATACATTTCTAAATAAGCCATGAATGAACACAGCTGCATGTGACATCAATCAGAAAGTCCAGATGCAAGATTGTGTTAACTCCACTAAATTTAGATTTAGATGGCTTTGCTTCATCATCCATGCAGACTGTGATATACTACTTTTCTGTTATGTTAGATTAGACCAAGGTACCTGAATGGAGCTGAAGAGAAGGTTGCTCTTTTCACATTTTGGGTGACCAAAGTTTGTGCCATTAGAACAACCTTTCTATCATAAGGATGAGATTGTGTAAATTGACTCTTCACAGACCCACATTGGTAGGGACCTTCTTCATTGTGCCATCCTTTTTCAATTAGACATGACACATGTCTAGCAAAACTGTGAATTAACACACCATGCATCTAGACTCTGGTTTCAAGCATGAAATGTCGATATATCACACTGTATGTGTTTTGAATACTCTTTCCAGTCACATACTTGATCTAGTCTATTGTCTATAACAACAATCCAATGGAATCAATAAGTTCTTAAACGTCATCATTTTAGCTTTATAGTAGGTTGTACTGGCCGTGACTGCATATCAGCCTCTATTCCAGCGTGTTATACAAAATTTCAAGTTTCTGCTAATGTGGCATTTCCAAAAGTATGACAGCATCATGTGTGTCCCAACATAATTCAATTTCTAGAATTCAGATACAAGTAAGTGAATCTCTGTTGTATTAAATGCTTGAATATGGCATGTCTTGCAGTAGCAGAAAGCAGGATATGTGACCATATAGGAAAATCACTTCCACTCTGCTTTAATTTTATGAGCTGCATATGTTATTTGCTTCTTTCTTAAGAGATTGGACTTTTTTTGGGAGAAACTACTAATTGACAGATTGTCTTTTTCAGGAGAAATATTCACTGATGTGGTTGGTAGCCCTTACTATGTTGCACCAGAAGTCCTGAAGAAAATGTATGGTCCAGCTGCTGATGTCTGGAGTGCCGGGGTGATCATTTATATTCTTCTTAGTGGCGTCCCTCCATTTTGGGCTGGTGAGGATTTTACATTTTACTTATGTTAGCTTATAGTTTGTAACTATATATTTGTATAAATTACCATATATATTTGTTTGTTTATACAGACAAATCTAGTTAATATTGTCTAAGAACTTATTTATCTATAACCTCCTCAAATAATATGCACTGTAATTTACATAATGCCCAGAGACTGAGCAAGGCATATTTGAGGAGGTTTTACATGGCTCACTCGACTTTCAGTCAGATCCATGGCCTAGCATCTCAGAAAGTGCCAAAGAACTGGTAAGAAAAATGCTTTTTAGGGACCCCAGGAGGCGGTTGACTGCCCATCAAGTTCTATGTAAGTTCCTCCTACTTCAGTTTAGACAGTATTCACTGTTATCAGATGACTCAGAACTTTCTGAAACAGTTCCAAGAGAGAAAATTCATGATGTGCCTTTAGCATGGTCTCTTTTTTATTGCATTAACATATCTCAGAGGTGACAGTGTAACATGACAGAAACAATCACTTGCCCTGAAGTTTAATGGGTGAACCTAGGTTTTGACTCTGATTATCCATTTGATCTTTCCTAATTTGGTACTCGAATTAATATCATTACCCAGATTTGTAAAGAAGCTGGAAAGCTCTAATGGACTTGCCAACTAGTTGGCCTATCATGAAATGTATTGTTTGTTAAAAAATTTAGATGGTTCAGTTCTGTGGTGATTTAAATTACTGAAGCTGTTCCTTCCAGGTCATCCCTGGGTTCAGATTGATGGAGTGGCTCCTGATAAGCCTCTGGATTCTGCAGTTCTCTCTCGCTTGAAACAATTCTCTGCAATGAACAAACTCAAAAAGATGGCTATCAGAGTAAGCTTTAGAAGTCATGATCTTGGAAAATAATTTGATACTACTTTAGATGCATAGTTATGAATTGCTGAACAGATAGGCAGAACAAATTTGTATTTAACTCTGATAAAGACAAACCTTTTGCTTGAAGTTGGCTGTGATGATTAGATGGACTTATTATGCATGCTTACTGTCACACTGGCTAAGGCTGCTGAATTTTGCAACTTGCTATATGTTTTTACAAGTCTAGTATTTTTGAATTGGTCATTAGTGGGCTCAATAATCATGCCCTTGGTACAGATTGATGAATCACGCTTGTCATCTTGAGATCTTCACCCTCCTCTTTAAGAATGACCACCTGTAACTGATGCTGATTTTTCTGTAGTAAGGTTTTAGATGCCTGGCTTGTGTTAAAAAAAACTTGTAGAAGTATATAAGCATTCTATTGAAAATTGTTAGTCTTTCCTGACATGTTTTGTTTTGGGCCTACCTGTTTGATAATTTGTTAAAACATTCTCCTTTAGCTTTTGGCTCAACCTTTTCTCTATAAAGGATGCATTCGTGGGGATGGTCAATGTATTCAGCCTCATGTCTAAGAGGTTGTTTTCGTACCTTCAACTCAGATTTTCTAAGTCATAAAGGAGCAATCTACCATTGTACCAAAGTCTGCCCTCTAACTTTTTGTTTATACCGAACTATAAAATCTAACTCATATGCTTAATTCTGTTAGTCTTTTGGTTTCTATTATCTCGTCTACAATGATTTAATTGTTTTATGCTACATCCAATCTGTTTTCCTCTCCTTTTTTCTCCTCCTATCCATTGCTTCTCTCTAAATATGCCCCTTCTATAGGTTATTGCTGAACATCTTTCTGAGGATGAAATTGCTGGCCTTAAAGAGATGTTTAAGATGATAGATACAGACAATAGTGGACATATTACCTTTGAAGAACTCAAGGCTGGATTTGAAAGGGTTGGTGCTTGTCTCAAGGAGTCAGAAGTTTATGCTCTTATGCAGGCGGTAGGTATTCTTAAAATCTGCAAGCTGGCATAATGTGTTTTTAATAGCTGAAATTTACTGTCAAAAATTTCATTCTTTTAGTAATTTAATCGTTGGATTAAACAAGGCTACAAGAACTTTTATGCTAAATGATATTCAATTCATCCAGTATGATACAATCTGCAATACTTGTAGACAAGTATATAGGTATATTGAACTCTACCAAGCATAAACAACCTTTAAGCACAGGTAACAAATGCAATTTTGTTTACTCCCACCAAGAGTTGTTGATATGATATTCATGGTATTTTTAGAATTGCAATTATCACAACATCCAAATATATTGCAGTTTTAACCAACATGCTTAATACTGGCTGAGATAAGATGACTATATGGTGCACTAATAGTTTAGATTCTTCAGAAGATGATTTACATTATGTCATTCACTGTAATCTTCTTTTTTATGGAGAATGAAACCAAAATTTAAGATGTTGATTTGCCCTGTGGACGGCCACTTCCTTCTCCAAAGAAAATCATTAATTTCTCGTGCAAACCATGTGGAGGGAGGAGTTCATTCAGTGTCTGAGCTTAGTATTGTTTTTTTTCTCATCTTTGCTTATTCCTTTGTTGGCTGCAAAATTGAAAATTATAGGCAGATGTTGATAACAGCGGGACAATCGATTATGGTGAATTTATTGCTGCCACTTTACATCTAAACAAGATAGAGAGGGAGGATCACTTGTTTGCTGCTTTCTCATACTTCGACAAGGATGGAAGTGGTTACATAACTCAAGATGAGCTGCAGCAGGCTTGTGAAGAGTTAGGTGTAGAAGCCGTGCACCTAGATGACATGATCAAAGAAGTGGATCAAAATAATGTAAACTTTATATATTTGAACATAACTGTTGCTTGTTTTTTGTTCCAAACTTACATCAAGAGATGAAAAATCTGCTCATTTTTCAAATCTTTTTCCTTTTCCGCAGGATGGACGTGTAGATTACAATGAATTTGTGGCCATGATGCAAAATGGAAACGATGGATTTGGCAAGAAAGGGATGCAGACTACCTTCAGTATGGGTTTTAGGGAGGCTTTGAAGCTGGGTTGATGATTCTTGTTCTTTTTTTTTGTGTAATTAACATTCATAGAATTGTCATATAGAATCTGATAGCTTGTAACTGAGGCTCCAAGGTTGTTGTATTCATAATATTGCAGTTGTTTCAACTTTCATACCAGTTATACAGTGGTATAGAATTGTAAAATATGAACAAGTTCTCCTGATGTATTGAATATAATCCAATTGACAGTAATATCCCTTTGAAATTATCACATATGTTTCTCTCATATATTGATCATTTTTGTGTCAGCTTCTCTAAATTTAAATTTAGGAAGCAAAGAGTCAAATAATTGTGGTTAACTTGAGTTTACTGGACAGATACTAAGGAGAATGACATATATTGAGGATTTAAATATTTCAAATTATACATTATATATATATATATATACACTAAAATATGGAGGGGCAAACATGTTATTTTAAACCTATAGATGTGGACATGAGCCTACGTGGCATAAGCGTACATGGGCCTCAGCCGGGCCCACGTAACCATTTGCACTAGCACATCGGTGGATGAGGCTGCATCATCGATCAGAACCCAACCTACGGTCGAGATCAAAACCCTACCCTACACCACCTTCCCATATAAACTCGTTAACACTCTCCCGCCGCTTGCGGTCGTCTCCCTTTCCAGCTCCGAACCCTATTTCGGGCCTCCTCCTAACCCCAGTCCCCGTCGCCACCCTCGTCCGATGGCTGCCGCAGTCCGGCCGCTCGTAACCGTGCAGCCCCTCGAGGGCGACATGGCCACCGACGCGCCCGCCGCCGTCCCCCTCCCTAACGCCTTCAAGGTGCCGATTCGCCCGGACGTCGTTCGCTTCGTGCACGACAACCTCTCTAAGAACAGACGCCAGCCTTACGCTGTCTCTAAGCTCGCCGGTCACCAGACCTCGGCCGAGTCCTGGGGCACTGGCCGCGCCGTCTCCCGTATCCCCCGTGTGCCAGGTGGCGGAACCCACCGCGCTGGCCAGGGTGCCTTCGGCAACATGTGCCGCGGCGGCCGCATGTTCGCCCCCACCAAGACCTGGCGCCGCTGGCACCGCCGTGTGAACGTCAACATGCGCCGCTACGCCGTCGCCTCCGCCCTCGCCGCTTCCGCTGTCCCCTCCCTTGTTCTCGCCCGCGGTCACCGCATTGAGTCTGTCCCCGAGCTGCCCCTCGTGGTCTCTGATTCCGCTGAGGGCGTCGAGAAGACTGCC